GAATTGAAAACAATTTTAATACACTTATTACATTTGAATTGCGTATAACTATAGCAACAAACATTTAACAAACTCGAAATCCCCAGGTAAGTTTTAAATAAACCCTCCAAACTAAAGGATCATTTTGAAATTCTATCAGAAACATCTCTAGAGATATTGTAAGCTATTTCAAAATTTGAATCTATTTATACTGCATATATACTAATATTAGAATAGTTCAAACACATAAGTTCCCTTTATAGTATAATGAATGAAATATTAATAAAAAATACTTTTATAAATAATTAGTAAATATTAGATATAATATTTGCAGTCATGTTATATACTTTTATCAATTTAGGTAATTTTATAATAACACATATATAAAACTGTCTCCTTATTTTGCACATATTTTTAATTTAAAATAAATAATAACCACCACAATTAAATTGTTAAATAAATTCTGAAAATTTTGATTTTGTCGTACAGTTATAGATAAGAATATTTATATCAATGTTGAAAAAGACGATCACATGTATGTAAATATAATGCTGTTGTATACTCTCATAGTAGAGGTGATAAAATATGTCGATACAAATTATTATTGGAATTTTAACGCGGGCAGTATTGATGGTGAAAATAAAGCTCCCCATTGTGAAACACTCAAAAAAAAGATTTTTCACTCAGCTCATTTTTATTTTCCAGGTCTTGTTAGTTTTTATCACGGTAGTTGATCATCCCGAAACCAATTATAATCCAACTATAATAAATCTCCCTTTGCTCGCGCGTTCTGCGATCATGGACACGAGAATTGTTCAATTGAACAATAGTTGAAGAAGTTTTTTTTTTCTCATCACTACTTCTATATACTACTATATCGTTATTTGTTCTACACTGTCGGCGCCGACGTGTACAGTATAACCAATTCAACGAACTTGGCTGACTTTCGAATAATCGTAATTGTAAGCAAGAAAGTTTTCTGCATGAACCGATTTATGCACGCGTTAAATTTCAACTATGGTTGCAACTCCGCAATGATTATAAATATTGATCAACAACAGATTTTTAGAATTATTTTTATTATTTTGAATTAACTACGTTTTGAAGTGTACACAAGGTTTTGAGATATTTTCTTATACATAAACATAAAATACGATACTGATCGAGTGCAAACAATAATCGTCATTGGAACTGTGGAGTTCATTTTAAAAACAATAATACTTTTTATATAATTTATACAACATGGGCAGTATAAGAATACTTATTTATGTTTTGGAACAATTACCTTAATTTTATACATTTTAATAATCGTCTTTTGCGAGAAAATTCGTATTTGATTTTGGTTAGTTTAAAGAGTATTCTGTAATTTATTAATGTTGAACTACTTATTTTGAATGTAATTAAAAAAATATTGTGTTTGTAAAATACGCACATTGATTTTATAATACAAATATGTGCATCGTTGCACCAATATAATATTTTGGCTGCCGCTTACATTTTATAACAAGAACCGTTTTTAATTGCTCGACTGAAAGTTTTCGAAAGCATTCTCCGTCCATAATGAGTTTGCACAAAGAATGTTAACACTCTTCTCACTATTTCGTAGCGTTGGCCGACAATATAATTTATTATATTCGACGAAACAAAATAACGACTCACACGAGATTTATATGCGTTTCTAACGAAATTGGGGTCTCGAAAACAGTGTTATATTGTAATGTTTAACAATAATATTAACAATTATATGGTTATTTTTTTTTAATAAAAAAGCATTTTAGAAATTTCAAGCGCATGTCATCTTCCTTGAATTCAACTCAAGATTCTATTCTAACCTTGTAATAGTTTTTTTTTTGCATAAAAACGAAAATACTTGTAACATTTGTTGTTTTTAAGCTTCTTAATTCTAATTTGTTATTCGTAATTGTTTACCGTCACTTTATATAAGTATAAAATGTATTAATAATATTAAACGTTAAAAAATTAATTGTATGTTTTGTTAAAAGTAATTATTTCATAATTCATAAATCATATTAATATATGACAATACTGTTTTTTTTTCTCGTATTTTAATGTTAGTAAACAATATCGATAATGTTATAACTATTATTTACAGACGTATGCCTTAAAACGATGAAAAAAAATATTGTACTTAAGACAAATATCCTTGTCAACATTTAATAGAATTTCAGTTTCAAGAACTCTAAATAATAGAATAATACTGTTTACAACAATTTTCATTGAATGAACAGAAAATCTTTATTAAACAAATATTAATACAATTGAAAATTATACGTTCATCTAAGAAAATAAAGGAAAGACATTTGATTTTTACTAAAGTTTTAATAAAGTTCTACTTCTTGACATAGTAGAAACGAGGTTTTTTGACTTTCTAATACGACTTAAGTTTGTATCATCTGTGAATAAAGGCTACAGTAGTAAACCCTCGAAATTTGTTTCTTCGCTTTTATCATGTCAAATTAAATTGTTTAAAACTATAAATCGACTGTGACTGATCCCTAAAAGATAAAACAGTGGATTGTAATTAGAAAAAAAGCACACTTCCATTGTCAGCTTGTTTTTACTCAGAGGTATCGTAATTTAAAATGTTTATTGATAAATTAATCTCAAATTAATTAACATGTTTTGAAAAGACTATTTTTAAATAAAATTAAATCCATTCCAATAGTTTTTAACAACATTTTTGACGTATGTAAATACAGTTATTAACTATAGCTAAATACGTACTTATTCGTATTATTATATGCAATTATATTATTTTCATTTTCATTAGATAATGGTATATCTAGAAGGGAGGTTGATACTTATAACATCCCCTTGCTTCCGAGAATAATGACTAAATATTTAAATAATATTAATAATATAAATATGTAATTCCATTAAAATTTTGTTTAAGTTCATATGTGCAATAATTATTTCATAAATAATTATGTTTTATTAGAAAGATGTGTATGATTTCATGTCATTTTATACTGAATACATTTATATTTTTAGTTTTTCATTAAATCTAATAGTTCAAGATAGGAAATCATATTAATAATTACTATATATAACTTGTTTATTATAAATCATTAGAAAAGAAAAAAAAACCATATTAAACATTTGAATAAATACGTATATACCATCTATTCGTGTGTCGACTGTCTATTTTCGAAATAGTTTTAAATAATTTTGTGCTTATTCTTAAATAGACTAAAAAAAAAATTCCTTTTTCTTTTTTCGAATAAGAAAAAAAAATGTGTATTTATAATTTGTAATGACAAAGTATTCATTTTAAATCAGAAATAACTTAATTAATAACAGTTATTAGTATAAATTAATTTAGGAATATACAATGCACGTAATTCGTATCAGTATTTCGATAATTTATAATTGTATAGCTAAATCAATTGGAGTCCAGTTAAAAAAGTATCTATAACTTACCTCTTCTCAATGAGATCCATTATGTGAATGTGTAAAAATATATTGAAATGAAATGTATGAGGGTGTGTAAATAAAGAATAAACTCAACTTATAATGAAATCAAAAAAAAAAATTTATCGGTGTGTGATAACATATTTCCAATAATATATTTCGTTTGAATGTTAATGAACAAATGGAATTTGTTGACGAAATGAAAATTCATTAACGAATGGGATTTATTTAATAGTATACTGAATACAATATGTATAATGAAATAAATAAGTAGAAACTATTAACAACACACGAACTGATTTAATTAATTTTTTTTCATGCATACGTTAAGTAAGGAATTGTATAATATATATATATATATATATGTATACCGATACGGTAACTGGTAATCATATATAATACCTGTTTAATTTGGTCCTAATCGTGTTTCATTGGTACAAAATTGTTTGCATTTTATTATCACTATTTTTATTTATTTTCTATAGCATATTTTAATGGTCTGACATACACTATGTACCGATATACATAACAATTTTAATAACTCCGTAATTTAATTTTGCGATTAAATTTATTTTATCCATTTTTAAATTTGTTATGTATAAATGTACAAATATAATGGTGAAATAACTTTATACTCACTACAGTTATATTTTTTATTGACAATATTGTGTTTACTTTATTTACGCGGAGCCTTAAAGATAACATAATTTTAATTTTTGACATAAAAATTGCGAATTAAGTTTTTCAATATTTTAAATTATATCGCTTAAATCATGTGAAATTAACAGTAGTATACATGCTAGGTATTGTTATTGTAATTATATATGTACTACGAGTCGAGAATAACAATGCTTATTATATGCCCACTTTATATACTTCGCTGTTTATAATGTGGCTACAAATGTTTCTAACCTATTATTCATAACTGTTATTTTGACCACATGGTTATTCTCGGTTATATTTTAACGGCGTCATATTCATGACAGGAAAATTAATAATACCGCTAATTTCCATATTTAGGTGAACCAAAAGTGTTCTAAGAACGATGTTTATATTCTTTCCAGATACATTCATTGTATAAGGTTTTAACTGCATTTTATTGCATGTCGTATTCAAAAACTGACCGAGATGACGATGTAAAGATTATTGCTATGTGCGAATGGAAGTCGATTTCGTATTTATGAACTAATATTTTGTGTGAAAATATTAAAAATTAAACTAAACCAAGTTATGAATTTACGACCATAATTTTGCGGACAGGCTCGTTATATTTGCTTTTATTATAAAACTATTTCGGGGGAATTGTTATAAAAATAATCTGGCCAAATATTATGAATAATATTAACATCCACGGCTGAATATTGTATGTACAGTACTACATTTATCACGTAATAAAAGCCAGATAAAATACGTGAAACTTCATATTCTGGAGACGATTTACAATATTCGACTTATTTTTATACTTTTACAATAGTTTATTGTTTTTTTTTTATTGAGTACACGAAAAGCTCCCGAACAAATAATATTTGTTCAACGAATTAACGCTATATGGTTTAGAAATGAAACGATTAAATGACATAGGTACTCACAGTAAACAATCATCCTCTTGATCATAAAATCTTCATCGTGGTAAGTAGACACGACACATCTGTAGTCACCGGACAGCTCGATAGTAGGATTGATTATATGTAAGGCCCTATTGACATAAATTATTTTTTTATAAAATTATACAAAATATAATGAAGTACGTAAAATTAAATAAAGTTTCCTTAATATTCAGCAATTCGTCAGTTTAAATGTTTTAAGTATACAATTTCATTTTTTTTTCTTTTGTTCATAGAAATAACTATAGGTGTAAAAAATAATAAAATTTTTATGTAATATTTGAACTTAATAGCTAGGTTAATTTTTTTTTTTTTTTAATTCCTATACATATACACATATATATTAATTAGATTAAAATAAATTAACGTCATGAGTTTTGGTAAAAATATCTAGATATTAAATACACGCAAGATAGTGGGAAAATTAATTTAAACGAGAAAAAAAATATCCTTAATAATATATATTAAAATCTTAAATATTGAAATTATAGTAACATCCAATTATATTTGTTACCTTTATATTTAATATGTTTAAGTATTCTTCAAGAGTGAAATTATTAATTTTCAAAATTAATATTATAAAATCACATTTTAAACAGTACATTATTAAATAAAAACAGGTTTGGAGATAGGAATAATAAGATGAATGTAGTGTATAGAATAATTTTTCAATTATTATCAAAACAATGAACAATTTTATAGAATCAGCAAAAAATAAAAATGTAAGTATTGAATATGTATATAATGTTTGTTAAAGAAGCATATAACTTTTTCGATGTATTTTCTTCAGCATTAAGAGATAATTATGTTTTAAAGTATTTATAAAATAATTTGTATTATTATTATTATTTGTTTGAAGTAGGTACCTAACTATTCATATTACATCAAATATGGTGTTGTATTTTATACTTTTTTATATTAAAAAAAAAAAAAAAAAAAAAAAAAACAATTATTAAAGACAAACATAATAAACGTTTAAATATTTGAATATTACATTACAATCATGCCTGTGCATCTCTAAATAGCAAATAATACCTGTGCATGGTCTCATTGTCATCAGATACTTTGTAGTCGAGATTGGCCCGATGACGGAACACACCGATGCTCAAAGGTTTTTGTCCAGGAATCCACTGGTACACCGGTCTTGCGCTATTATTGAAGTACCATGCCACTACTAACCCAACCGAGTTTGGTCGCAATGTGTAAAGACAGTCAAGCACAACGCCAGACTTCACGCCAGCCATTACAGAACTAGGTACACGAAGTTCGGTGAGTGTAACTCCACCTGAAACAATGATATCAGAAAAAAAATATATATATATGTACCAAAAGATTTCTGAAAAACCTAATTATTTTATGTCATATATATATTATTTGTGACAAACGATGAGACGTACTAAAATGTTGCCTTCACTCAAGAAATGAACTCTCAATTACAATGGACCCTGGCTGTTAATTTTTTTCACAGGATTTGTATTCCGTGTCCCATTTATAATAGCTTACTATCACGCATATTCTTTTTCGGGTTATTAAAAAAATACGTTTTAGCAAAATTGTCAAACTTCTTGTGCCAACATTAACTTTCTTAATGTTGTAATAATGTTGCATCATTATTATTTTTTCTTGTACATAGAAACATTTTATAAGACATTTTATAATTACTACGTGTCCTTTAATTATTTATATTTCTTCCATTTATGTAACTTTAAAATACTATTATTTTTCGTGTCAATATCGTTTATATATTCAGTATATTAAGAAAATAACATTTTTTTACGTTTAAATAAGACTTTTTTTTCTTTCCTAGTGTTCTGCTTATTATTAATTCCTGACTAGCTTCTTTCTTGATAAATTCTTGGAATACATTTCTATTTAATTTTATCATTAATATTATTTATTAATTTATAGTTGATAAAATCTATTAATAAAGTTTAAAAATTATTCATTCTCAATTTTTCTGGTAATATGTAAACAATCGGAAAAATAAAATTATCACACATCACATCAATATATACCTAACTCTTCTTAGAATCTAAAAAAATTAATGAGAGAATAAGTTAAATGTATAGTGGTTGACATTGATTAATTTATTATATCCGTAAATATAGCAAAAATAATGGTAGGTAAATCAAAAAATTATAGATTTTCCGAGTGCCGTCAATCACTATCATAAAATACCATACGAAAGCAAAATGTACTTGGCATTTACATAGAACCAACTTTCAAGTATAGTCTTGTTAGTAATCTTATCTCGCCATCTCATCACTACATTCAAATGTAAATCAGACGAAAACTATCTATGAATAAAATTAATTCAGCATCCATCCATTCATAAACTTCTGTGGTATTGCACTCCACTGCAGATACATTAAAATTTGGAATCGTATTTATAATTATTTGATTATTGTATATTAACGAATTGTTATTATTTTATAGAATGCGTTTAAACAGTTTTTACTCCATAAATAATTATTTATTGATTATTATTTTTTTTTTTTTTTTTTTACTGGAAAACAAATTTTTCATTGACAGTTTTACATCCCTCTGTATTAATTAGTAATAATACCTATATCTGTTGTATGTTACCACAGATAATATCATGGTACACATGTACATAATTTCTTTATGTAACTCCTACTTTAATTCAATAAACTTATTTGGACATTACGTACAAAATAATATACAAATATCCATCTCACAAAAACAATATAAGTAATATACCATGCTAACCAGAAGTCACTATTGGAAAAAAGTATACTTATGTTCAAATGATGATCAAAGCCTAGCCCATGAGTTATTACTAACTATAAATTAATAGTTCTATCAAATCCCTTCGTAAAGTAAATGTAATTGTTTGCAATTTATTTCGTGTATATTTATTACATAATGCTTATAAAGTAATGAAGTATATATAGTTTATTTTACAGAAGTCAATGGTGTTTTATTAGTATAAATACAATTATAATTAATTGAATATAGTTTAATAACAATAATATGATTATAAGATTGTTCTGCTTAAAAAGGCTGTGCAAGTCCGTAATATATAACCATAACATATATTATAAACTGAAACACTGTTTGCACAAGTGGTGACAGTTGCGTTTGTTGTGTGCGTATGTTTAGTGTAAATATCATATGTATATGGTAAGGTCATAAAACTATAAACATAATTCGACGGAATATTATCATCGTTCACTGGTCGGTTGCTGTTTCAGACTTTTGCGCTTGGCCTCTAGTTGACAAGGTTAATACCTTATATATTAATATATCGGTATAAAATAGAGCAATAACTTATAGAATTAAAATAATCGAGTAGATATTATTTAGAATTCCTATCCATAATATAATTGTTAAACATGTACAAGCAAATTTAATAGTTTTAGTATAGTTTTCATCTAAAATAAGGGCCGGTAAACTTTTCATAGAAAAGAGCAATTTTTATTTATTTTTTTTTTTTACAAAACTATTATATCCAAAGAACCACGTTGGTTTGAAAAAATGTCCTTGTTTTAGTGGTACATAGGACTTCTGTGTAAATATATATATTATATATATATATATATGTATATAAAAAAAAAAATTGTGGATTCAAGAATATCAATTTTCTGAAGTACTTGTTGGAAGCTAAAGTTTCAATTATTAATAAGAATGATTGTGACAATATATCATAGATATTCAATGATTGTCTTTTACATTAGGTACTAGACTCAATAGTTAATTTATACCAAAATATTCATATTATAAAAATAAATAATGTGGCATGTATTCACATTAAATTTATTTAACCGTAGTTTTGCTATAATATCAGCAATATGAAAAATTAAACGTTCAGATTTTACAAGATCGATCGATAAGGAAATAGAATTCCTGGTAATTTAAACATTTTTTCGTTAATTAACAACTGTAAACACTCAAGATATATGCAAAAATATATATTTTTTTTTTTTTAGATCATATTTAATTGTTGTGCCAACAATAAAAGTTTCCGGCACATTTTTTACATGACAAATTAGAGAAACGTGTTTTTGACGAGCAATTAACGTTTCACTGAGAAAAAAAATAAAATAATAACTACACCAACAACAAAGAAGCGCTAGTTGACTAAGGAAAAAATCAGCTCGGTTGTAAGTGTATCGCATTCAAACGCGTTTACGTGTACAAATTTAATAAACTCTCTCGTGTACATATTGTATTTATAATATGTGTGTATTATTTTGGATGTTAACTCGTAGCGTTAGAATAAAATAAATTTATAAAAAATAAAAAAAAAAAAATTATGAGAGGTGAAAAAATAATACGATATAAAAAAAAAAAATCCTAGCGCGAATAAATAAAATTACGAAACCCACCAGGATGTTTATGGCGCAAGCAGCAGTAAGCACGTTGCGTCATTTAATACCTACCGAGACGAGTTTAACGTTGGTGTGGGTGAAACAAAATGGAAAAAAAAGGAAAAAGAAAAGCGTAGTAGACCTTGTTCGGAACATAGTCATGGTAAGCATGACTGTGTGGACAGTGGTACAATGCGTTCGGCGCTTATATATTATTATTATATATAGAATAAAAAACGTAATAAATTTTAACAAAGATTTATGTCCCCGGTGGAAATGCATTCTTTCTTGTTGGTTCGTGTGGTTGGCGGGAATGTGAGTGTACATGTAAAAAATGGATTCACGGTAGAAAATACAAGAAGTCATGTGTGGCAACATCATCAGGACGAGTTCCAATGGTTTCGTATATGGTAATAAGAAAAACGTTTCTCTTGATGGCAGCGCATAGTGAAAACAATATTTCACATGAATCTAGGAGCGGTGACTGCATTACTGATACCATGTGACGAAATCATTTTTTGGTTTTTTGGTCACCTTGTTGTTCTGATTCGTAGCTTCCAAATCGTGTATGCGTGTGTATTTGAAGTTATAGTGCTATGTTAATGTTTGATATTGATATCATTTATGGTAAAGTCGAAAAAAAATGGCTCATATCTGCCGAAAGAATAATGTTGGAATGTATAGACTATGATATAAATAATGGAAGATGGGTAGATGCATTCCATTGACTTTCGATCGAAATCGAAGTAATAGAAATATTGAATAGTTTAATAGTTATTATGGATAGGGAAAAGGAGACCACGAATAAGAATTATTGGGAGAAGAATATAATGGTTTTGAGGACGATATACCAACTTTAAAGCAAATTCTGCTCTTTAGACCCTGTTTAATTCACATGTAAATACTATATATTAATATTCTTATATACGATGTTTTAATAAATTTTAACTTTTTGATGGCCACCATAAAAATATTAATAGCATCGATGTCATTTTTGTTAATTTAATTCTCGATATATACCTAATTACTGAGCTAAAGGTACATATCAATATAACATCAATATAATATATCATAATAATCTAAGAACACTTAATGTTTATTAGAATAATAAAAACGTGGAAGATATTAATTAGGTTATAATATATGTTATGTTTTGTAACGTACCTTATTTCATTTGTATAACATATTTGATATAATTTTGGCAATATTCGATAACTTAATTCAATAATCGATTTTAAGCGTTGATCAGTGTAAATCCTAATTAAATAAACATATCTTGGAAATCATAAAAATTTAAAAAAAAGGTTATAAAACCAATTCCTACTTTACTTCGGGTGGAATTTAATTTAAACTGACTATAAAAGCCGTAATAGAAAAAATTGGAACTAAAATTCCCGAATAATTAATTTATTAAATTATACTTGCGCAACGTACATATAAAATTAATCGGAAATGTATAAGTTCAACGACTCCAGTCGTTAAAACAACGAATGGTTATAGTAATAAAGTTATGTTTTCTCGATACTTCGGTTGAAATTTGAAAATTCACTTGAAAATCGCTTATAGCGTGGAAAACTAACTATACATTTTACAAAGAAACTCCAATGACCATTGTCCTTATTAATAAGATTTTAATGATTTGTGAACTCTGACTTTGGTCAATGAAGATTAAATCCTAATTGTGTTTTACTTTGTTTGGAAGATTTTATGGCTTAGACACATATTTTTAAGTTCATTATTAAGTCATTACAGTTCAAATTTCTTCTTCCATGGTAAAACTTTGATTATTGTTTAGAATTAACAAAACATGATTTATGACGTTAGGTTAGTAATATAATTTATTGAATAAACGTATTCAAGTTAGTAGAAATGCACGGGTTAAACAATAGTTTTTACAAATCCATTTTTATTCTGACAGGATTTTTTTTTATACCACTGTTTACCATTGTTATGT